AGTACTGCAACAATACTGCCAAAAGTACTGCAACTATACTGCCAACAGTACTGCAACAATACTGCCAAAAGTACTGCAACTATACTGCCAGCAGTACTGCAACTATACTGTCAGGACAGCCAGAAATCCAGCCAGCTACTATTCGTCCCTCCAAGTCTCAGAACTGGACTAAAATCATTGAAGCTGGATGTATTTTGCAGGTTTATCCGGAGCTGCAGGATCCGTCTGAGGCCTGTCTGCCTCCGTCCTCCTTCCTCACCTGTTCGTCTGATAACACCATCAGACTGTGGAACGCCGCTGCCGCCGCCGCCGCCGCCGGACGGACCCACCTCCACAGCAACGTGAGCTGCAGCACAACTGCACAGTTTGTTGAGAACTGCTGGTTCCTGAACTTCCCGTGTGTTGCAGGACCTGCTGAGGATCGTGTATGTGGGGGAGGCAGCCGGGGCTGCTGGGAAGACGGGAGTCCGGTTGCTGGCCATCAGTCCGGACGGGCAGCTGCTGGCGGCCGGAGATCGCTGTGGAAACCTCAGGTGAGTCTCAACACACCAACACTATGACGGACCAGAGGCCAGTTCTGCTCACTGAATCTACTTCTGTTCAGGATCTTTGCTCTGGACTTTCTGGACGAGCTGGTGAAGATCGAGGCTCATGACTCAGAGGTGTTGTGTCTGGAGTTCTCCCCCGAGTCCACAGGTGAGCCCGAGTCCCCCAGAGTCCAGGCTCCAGACATTATGGGGACTGTTTGGCTGGAGGTGATGCTCCTCAGTGACAGATTTACTGTCATGACTCTCCTGCTGCTGTTCCAGGTGTGAAGCTGTTGGCTTCGGCCAGCAGAGATCGGCTGATCCACGTCTTCGACCTGGAGAAGAACTACAGTCTGGAGCAAACTCTGAACGACCACTCGGCCTCCGTCAGTGCTGTGAAGTTTACAGGTGGCCGACTGTGACACACGGAGCCGATAACAGCCTGAAACCTGTTTTCACTTTAGAGACTTTTATAAACTGTTGTCACAAATTAAACTGACCATGAGTCGATGTTGTAGAGCAGTTAGAGGGAAAACGTCAGTGGAACATTTGGTTCTAGTTGTAGTTCTGTTGGGTGTCCATGTGACATCTGTCCTCAGGTGAACAAACCGGTGTCACCTGTGTTTCAGGTGAGAGTCCGGAGGTTCGATTAGTGAGCTGTGGAGCCGACAAGAGCATCTACTTCCAGACAGCCGAGCAGGTCGGAGCATCAGGCGGCATTATCTAGTTGTTGTTGACGTTTTGTGTTCTTTACCGGTCCTGTACCGTGATGTAATGACGTTCTGTGTTCTGGTCCCCGTGGTGTCGCTGTCAACGACCGATGTCTCGATACAGACGTCGGAGGGTTTGCGGTTCTCCAGGAGTCACCACGTGGTGGAGAAGACGACGCCAAATGACATGGACCTGGACTCGTCCAGAACCCACGTGGCTGTCGCCTGTCAGGACAGAAACGTCAGGTAGACAGAAACCATGTGTTCTGTTCCAGTTAGTGAACAGAACTCTGAACTGAAGCTGACGTGTGGTTTCAGAGTGTACAACGTGGAAACTGGGAAGCTGAAGAAGTGTTTGGAAGGTTCATCCAGCGATGAAGGAGCTCTGCTGAAGGTCAGGACGCTTTCTGAGTTTTAATTTATTAACCTGAAATGAATCCAGGCCCAACCTGCTGATACTCACATCAGTTCTTTTCACTTTTATTTATAAGTCACAACATGTTTCACCTCCAGACTTTAGAGGATTACACAGAGAAACCCAACAAAACCAAAGCTCCCTTTGGACTCTTTTCGACCAGCAGCAGTGGGTACAAAAGAGTTCTTGCTGTCAGAAAGAAAACCTGCCAGAACCAGTCTCAGGGAGGGCAGACGTCCGCCTCACCCAGGCGGGTAAAGGGGGACCAAACAGGACAGGCATAAGGGAACATAAATGTCTTGGAGGTCGTTGAGAACAGAAACTGTAGATCAGAGATGTGAAGCTCCAGACCAGAGAACAGTCAGTGAATGTGATGTTGGTGTAGAACGGAGAGGAGCCCAGTGCATCATGGGAGTCCCCCGGCAGTCTGAAGCCACAGCAGCATCACTGAGGGACAGTCCAGGTGATCCTGAGCAGCTCTAACTATCAGCTTCATCACAGAGGAACGTTTTCATCCTGACCTTAAAGCACAGAGGGTGTCTGCCTCCAGAACCCAGACTGGGAGCTGGTCCACAACAGAGGAGCTGATAGCTGAAGGCTCTGCCTCCCATTCTGGTTCTGGAGACTCTGGACCCACCAGTAGACCTGCAGTCTGAGAGCGAAGGGTTCTGTTAGGATGATACGATACCATAAGGTCTGTAAGGTCACATGGAGCTGCTCATGGAGAGTTTATATGTTAGAAGCAGGATTTAGATTCGATCCTGGATTTTACAGGAAGCCACTGAAGAGAAGCTGATACAGGAGACATCTGACCTGGTACTGGTTCTGTCAGAACCCTGCTGCAGCATGTTGGATCAGCTGGAGGGTTCTGAGCTTTCTGGTTGGCAGTGTGTTTCTGAGGTGTTCAGTTTAGTCTGAATGGAGGAGCAGAAAGTTGAAGTCATCCAGGCCTGTATGTCCTTCAGACATGTTGGAGTTTGACCGACTGCTTTCATTTGGCTTCATAGATAAATATAACTCAGTGTCGTCTGCCTAACAGTGGGAATGTCTGCAGTGCTTCCTCACAATATCATCAAAGGGAAGCGTGTACTGGGGACTAGTAGTGGTCCTAACACAGAACCCTGTGGAACTCCACAACTAAGTCTGCTGTTTGTGACCTGCAGGTTCACATGGACCCGTCAGGTTCGTTCTTGGCCACCAGCTGCTCTGATAAAAACATCAGCGTCTTCGACTACGAGTCAGGAGAGCGTGTGGCGTCTCTGTTTGGACACTCGGGTGAGTAAATCCTCCTCGTTACCTGCTCAGGTAAATTACACTCAACTCTCTGAAACATGTAAAATTAAAAATCTCAGTTTGGGTTTGACTTTGTGATTCAGCACGATGCATCGTGGTGAAGTGCTTATGAGGTTTGACTAGAGTCAGGTGTGTCATGCTGCCTCTGTTTCCTCAGAGACCATCACCTGTATGAGGTTCAGTCAGGACTGCAGACACCTCATCACCGTGTCAGCAGACAGGTGAGATGTACAGGCTGTAGCAGACAGGTAAACCTTACTGACGTTGGCAGACAGGTGAACTTCTGTAGAACAGTTTCTCAGCCTTTTAAAGATTCTGTTTGTTTACGTTGTGAGTCTTGTTGTGTTGTTGTTGTAGTTGTGTGTTTGTGTGGCGGCTGGACTCTCAGCTGAGCAGCATCATGAGGAAGAGGCGGGGCCTCAGAACAACCACCGCACCTGCAGCCCGCAGACTCAAACAGCAGAGCGTCAGGTGAGCTCCACCTGCAGAGCTCAGGGCATGCTGGGTTTGTTTCTGAGCGCCGTCTGATTCATCGTCTTCTTTCAGGAGAGAAACCTTCATCGCTGCTCACAGCCCTCGGCCACCACGGCCCGATGGAGACGAGGAGGCCGAGCTCAGGGCCAAAGACAGACCGGACGCTGCTTCAGGTGTGGAGGTTACAGAGAAACTGCTAAACTAGCAGCTACATCCTTATCAAATTGCAAAGTAGAGCAAGAACATCTGAAGAGAGCAGAAAACTTCACTGAAAGTAGCAGCTAGATGGTGACAGTCGAAGATCTAAAGAGCTGAACTGTCCTCAGCTGCTGCTTCCAGCTCCTCTGGACTGGACCTCAGTGGTTCTGATGGTAAAACAACATTTAATACAGCCCTGGAAGGTTTTTAGTGTACGTAATGTTTGTGCCTAGAGAAGATCCCGCTAACTGAGAGATTCACGTCAGCTATCAGTCAGACATCGTGGTGCTGCTCCTGAGGCAGCTGAGTGAGTAATGAAAGTTCAGGGTCCGTTTGTTTATCTGTTGTTGTTGTTGTTTGTTTCAGACGCTACGCAGCTTCAGAGCAACAGAAAACTGACGATGGTGTTCAGAAAACTGGTCAGTCTGCCGCTCACACGCTGTGACTCATCAGTTCACAGATAATCGATCACTTTGGAGATTGATTTTTTTCTGATGTGTGCTCTGCAGGGTCTTGGCCAAGCCTCCTCCAGCGTCCAATCAGATGTTGAGCCTTCTCTGGTACAGCATGGATGGGCGGAGCCACCAGACCCTCTGACCATCTGCTCCAGCTTCTCACCAACTCCCACCAAGAGTCAGGAGGACGAAGACGAAGACTTCCACCCTCAAGCTCTGGACAGTCTGCTGGGAGACGAGGAGGACGAAGATGGAGAGGAGGAGGAAGAGGAGGAGGCCGACCTCAGTACTCCAGACAGACCTGCTTCAGGTGAGGTTACAGGTGACATCACCTTGTCCTGAAGAAATTAACCTAAAAACTTGATCGTTTTGATCCAGGTACACCGTAGAACAAACCCTCTGAACAGAGCAGAGAGCTCCATGTGTAGCTCCCAGTGTTGGATAAACGGTGAACTGGTGGTCGAGTACAGCCAGAGTCTGTGTTGATCTGCTTCTGGTGTCCCAGACGCTGAGCCTCGTCGGGGTCGGAGACAGTGGTCGGCTCTGAAACCTCCCACCTTCCCGAGTGCCATCCGGACCCAGGAGGACGAAAACTTCCACCCTCAAGCTCTGGACAGTCTGCTGGAAGACGAGGATGGAGAGGTGATCAGCCAGGTGAGTCAGAACAGCACCGCTCTGCCCGGTGACCTAACTGGAGTGGCACATCGGCTTCTGGTGCTGGCTGCTCATAACAGAGCTGTCCCCTGTGAAGAAGCAGTGCATTAGTTTGTGTGTCCCAGTGATCCTGGGTGTTGTTGGGGTAAAGACCAAATTATATCAAACTATGCAACTATGAGATGTACCTCCTGAATCTGATCCTAACGCTGCCCCAGGCTTGTCAGTCAACACCCGCTAACACCTGTGAAGTAGAGCGGATAGCGGTCCACAGCCTGACAGTGCCTCATCGGGCCAAAGCAGGAGGCTGTTCAGTCACCTACAGACGAGCTAGTCCTGATGGTCCTGGTGACCAGTCATCTGCTCAGGAGACTTTATAGGTCCAGTTCATTTCTGCTGCAGTCCCAGTTGGCCACCATGTGTTCTGATTAAATCAAATAATGCTCCTGTGAACCGCAATCAGCTGGCATTTGCCGCTAAGGCAGCTTGTATAGCTTAACCTCAGAGTGTCTCTAGACTGGAGCTCATGGTCATTTCTGGAGCTCCACATGGAGGACTTCCATGCTCATGTGGACAACGATGGAGAAACCTGGAGGAGGTGAAGGAAGAGCAGCCTGATCTGAACCAGACGGATGTTTCGTTATTGGACTTCTATGCTGGTGATCGATTAGCCTTAACAAACACCATGTTCCGTTATCAGGTGGCTTATACGTGTACCTGGTACCAGAACACCTGACGTCAAAGGTCAATGACTTCGTAGTCGTGTCATCAGAGTCTGTCTCAGGAGCAGAGCTGACAACTGATCACCTGGTGGTGAGCTGGGTCCTATGAAAGGCTGCTGGACAGACCTGGTAAACCCAAACATGTGCTGAGGGTGAACTGGGAGGGTCTGCTGAAGGCCCATGTCCATGAGGTCTTCAACTCCCACCTCCAGACGTGCTGCTCCTGCATCCCGGGGAGGGTGAGGACGTGGAATCTGTTCAAGCTTCTGTTGCACTGAATGAATCTACTGGTTCACTGAAGCAGCAGAACAAGACAGATGATCAGAAGAATGAAACACGTCATACATAGAATGATGAACAGATGAATGCAAATCAAGGCTCGTCTGTCCTCAGCAGGTGTCATGTTGTCCAGGTGTTTGTGTGGCCAGAGCTGGTTTATTTTGACTGGCTGTGTTTGGTCCAGGTCCTGCAGACGAAAGGTGAAGACCAGAGCAGCTTCATCCTCTACAACACCACCCCTGACAGGTGAGGGCCGTGTTCATCACCTGTGCAGGTCCGAGGCAGCGCTTTGTTTCTAACCCAGTGTTTGTGTTTCAGAGAGTTTGATGTGGAGGGAACGACGGATCAGGGGGCGGAGCCTGAGCTGAGTCAGGACTCCGCCCTCTCTGATGACTCAACAGGAAGTGTGGAGCAGCACGACGTCGGTCAGAGCTTTTGACACTGCTGCTTTTCTGCTGCTGCTTCCCTCTGAACTCCTGCAGCTTCTGTCTCACTGTTCTCTGTTCTCTGCAGACAGAATCAGTTTCCTCACCTTCACGGACTCGCCGCCTCCCGTCTCCATGGCAACAAGCATCTCAGAGGAGAGTAATCTCAGCAACATAACGGTACACTGGCACACACCTGAGACACACAGTTTACCTGAAGCTCAAAGCACACCTGAGGCACACCTGAGACGTGTTAAAGGCTGAACGTGTGTCTTCAGGTGAACTCGGAGTCGAGCGGCGGCACTGCCTCGGCTGATGAGACTCGGAGGGGACACGGTGACGGCAGTGAAGTTGGTGGCGAGTCGTCAGGTTCTTGCAGAAATGAAGGTAAATGCAGCTGCAGACAGACGGCGTTTCTGCTGGAGCACACCTGTACTTGCACAAACAGGTGAGAGCTGCAGAGGAAGAGCTGCTGTGGCTGCTGTTGCTCTGCAGCAAAGCAGCGACAGTGTTCCGGTTCTTATACGCTTTGCTTTTGGTGACATCTTCAGTCTTCATCATCATGTCAGTCGTGTGAACATTTAATGTTCTTCTGGGCGTTTTCAGTATCAGCTGTCATCGTTCCATCTGAATGTGAAGTTTCATGTATCTGACATTAGAACCGTGGAGCTGCACCAAGCTGGTGTGTTGGTGTCTACATGAGCAGCTTGGTGGATGTCAGTAACATCAGATGACAAAGAAAAGTATTTACATGTGGCGCTGGAATCAGAACGCTTTTAACTATTTTGCTGAGAAATGGAGCATTTTTAATCCAAATTGAGTTCATCATGTGTGGAGGACCAATGAACCAGAACCTTCAGGAAACCAGAGAAACGTCATCTGCCGTCTGTTTTAGAGCAGATTCTGAGTCACTTCACAAACCAGCTTACTAATCACTTTACTAACCAGTTTACTGATCAGTTTACTAACCAGTTTA